AGAATAATTCACAAGATCATAATGTTAAGTTATTCTGAATATTGACATGTACAATAGGAAATGAAATAATAAACTAATTATCTTAAAAAAATGACGCAGCACAGTTTACAATAGAGTGTAGTGTCTCTAAGTTTGGAGTACAATTTTGTATCAACGCGACAACAACCATGACACTCAGACTGGCACGTTAACAAATAGGTTAAGCCCGGATCCGTATCCTATTGCGGTTTCTTCTAATATGAAAACTGTAACGGTTTGTTTGTTTTGAATTTCGCTCAAAGCTACACGAGGGCTATCTGCGCTAGCCGTCCCTAATTTAGCAGTGTAAGACTAGAGGGAAGGCAGCTAGTCATCAACACCCACCGCCAAATCATGGGCTACTCTTTTAACAACGAATAGTGGGATTGACCGTCACATTATAACACCCCCACGGCTGAAAGGGCGAGCATGTTTGGTGTGACGGGGATTCGAACCCGCGACCTGCAGATTGCGAGTCGAGCACCCTAGTCACCTGGACATGCCTGGCAAACTGTAACGGGATCGTCAGAATAAAGTGGTTAAAACATTTTCAAATTGTATTGTGCTATCTTATCACAGATATTATCTTCTGAGACATTTTTAGTTCACCAGTTTCGGCGTTGTACAGTTTAAACATAAAAACATTTCTGTTAGTAAGTCTTATAGCAAAAGGATACAACTAATAAAATTGAATAATTTCGTTTTAATAGCGAAAATATAAAATGATTTAGTTCTCACTTCTACTGCGGTATTTACATTAATTACCAAAGGAAACAGAGTTTCAGTAAATAATACCACAATACATTTTTTTTTTATGCACACAAGGCCGTAGGAAACGGTAAGGCCAGTCAGGCCATGGCCTGACTACATTTTCATGGGCATGTATAGCTACAACTTATGTATTAAGACTTTTAATTAAATTGTGTGTATGCAGTATTTGAAGTTAAAATGGCTAAAGATTCAATCTCATAGCATTCAATTTTCAAAACTTTTTGGGGGCATAATCCCAGACCCACTAGAAATGACAATGTGGCAATGGCCTGACAACTCAAAAATTGCTTCTTACGGTAATGGCACATATCAAGCTAATATTATTTCAAGATTAATGGACATCGGTTGTTTTATCTGCTTTTTTTCTCTTTTTTTTTGCGTGATACGAAAGTTAACGAAAAATCCGATGAAACTGCATATAATTACCATTGAATAAATATTTTCGTAAGTTATCATTATGGCCAGCTTAAACCGCTGTTACGACAGCGGAAGTTTCGTGACTCTTGGAGCATGTGCGCTAGAGTTTCTAGAATTATCGGGGAACCCCGCGAATCTCCGAGTATTTGCTAGACGCCCTCTTTTTTTTTTTAGTATATAAGCCTGGCAAAGAAAGCCAGCGATATAGGCAGGTAGATCGAAAAGATAGATCTAAGAGATAGATAGATAATTGAGTCAAGAGAACAGTAGGCACTGTAAGTAAAGTTTGTGAATCACTGTGACTTATAATGTGTGTTATAAAGGTTGTTAAGTTTAAAGTGACTGTGGAAATTAAGTGTATTACAAAGTTTGTATCGAGAAAGAATAAACTAGTTTAATCAAGAAGTCACTCGGAAAGAATTTTTACTGGAAATTATCAAAGAAGCAGATACACAACAGTATTACACAGAACTGTAGCTGGTATAATTACACAGAATTCATATCGCTGAAAACAAAACTAATTTAAAAGTACCCAAGGAATATCACATAATAAAACACATCAGTTTGCTATAAATTATTTATAAGATTATTTTGCCAAATACGATAGTTTTTCCTCAGTGTTAAGGCATAGAGTTGCATTTATAATTTTATCCAAAATTAGATTTATAATACTAATTTCTTTTTCTCAATTGAAATTTATCATTACCAATGAGATATACACGGCACTTATTACAATGTCGAAAATTTTTTTATAATGTTTAAGAACACAGGTTACATAGCTGTTTAAAAAAAAAAGAAAGAAAAGGTTTGATGATTTT